GGGAGCAGAACGCCTCATCTTTCTCCCGCGGAGCAGCTGGTAGTTTCGAACTGCTGGCCTTAAGGTTCGCAGCCCGATTCGTAACCACTACGCTACCAGGCATAGTGGTTATATAAGTTATCTTAGGCTGAATCAAATGGAGTTGGGTTCAGGAATTAATGCGGTGCCAGTGGGCGGGACAATTTGGAAAAGGAACACAGTCCATGTCATTAAAGCGCACATGCAAGAATTGTGGGATTCTTGTATCTTTCCCTGTCTATGTTCGCAACCAAAATACATTCATTGTTTTTTCTTATTTATTTTAATTTGTGAATTGAGTGATAGTTTACAGGGAGAATATAGGTTTTACACTCAACATTTCATGGCGATAATTACAATCTCCTCCGAGCATCACCATTCAACAGTAAAACACATTAATTTTTTTAAAAGGAAGAGAAAATGACTTCATGACCATATCAGTAACATTGGCGGTGGTGTGCAGGCCGGTTCCGACTCCTCATGACCCTATAGGTTTCCTATGGAGTCCTGGTGTGGCGCTGCGAGCTAATGCGCTGGACGGCAAGGCCGGTTTGAACCACAAGGTCGGTGGTTCAAGCTCACCAGCCGCTCCTTGGAAACCCTATACAAGGTGGTTTGGGGTCGGAACCGACTTGACGGCACTTCACAACAAAGACTTCCTATAGGAAAGATATACAGTTTCCGAAGCTTTACATCTCTACAGGCGCAGAAAGCTTCATCTTTCTCCTGCAGAGTGGGAGGTAAACTTGAACTGCTGACCTTGTGGTTAGCAGCCCAGAAGGTAGCCCACCATGGCCTACCATGGCTTTCTGTACACATTTACCGTTTGCAACACACGAAAAAGCAGCGTTGAGCCCGAGTTGGTAAGAGGTCTGGACTCGCGGCCACGCAGTCAGGCCTGACATGTCCGTGGCCCTGAGGCCAGAGCGGAGCTTGCGTGGCCGCCCGCCCAGGGTTGCCGGCCTCTGCAGCCCCACTCCCGCCGCCCCTCGGCTGACTGCAGCACCCCAGGCCCCAAGACAAGTAAGCGTACGGGGCGGGGGACACCGAGCGGATGATGCAACTGCCCCAGGCGCAGCCACGCCTCTCGATTGGCCGAGAGCGCCCCGCGGATTGGCTGGAGGTGCTGGGCGGAGCCTCGGGTGCCGCGTGGCTGGGGCTCTCGGCGGCAGTAACTGGGCAGTGTGCGGGGCACTCGGCTGGGGATCGTCTTCTCTCGGGCAGTGGCGGGGGTTCGGGCGCAGGTAAGGACGGGGGACTGTGTACCAGAGGCGATGCCAGGGACGCCGACCGGGAGGCAGTGTCGGGGGTCCGTCGCGCGGGGGATGGTGCCTGGAGCGACACGGCCCTGAGTCCGGGAGGCGGGGCGGGGACGCGGTGTAGGAACTTGACGCGGGGGGGAGGGGGGGTCATCCCGCACCCTTTGGAGAGGCGTGCTCGGCAGACCCCTGCCCGGAGGCCCACAGCCCGCAGCTCCACTGCTCGGGAACCCTCGGATCAGGTCCGGGGGCTGCGGGGCAGTGCATAGCCCCCCCTTACCCGCTGCCCTGCTACATCCCGCCCTACAGCTGAGCCTGCAGAGCCGGAGCCATGAGCGTGGGCTTCATCGGGGCCGGCCAGCTGGCCTTCGCCCTGGCCAAGGGCTTCATATCAGCAGGTGGGTTCTGGGCTTGGCCGGCTGGATGACACTGGGCACAGAAGAGCACGTTCTCCTCTGAGTTCTGGTGGTAACGTGGGGGGTGGGGCGCTTCAGTCCCTTTCGTCTGAGTTGGGGAGGAAGGGTCTAGACTGGTCTAGAAAGAAAAACTGTTTCCTGCAGGTGTCCTGGCTGCCCACAAGATAATGGCTAGTTCCCCAGACATGGACTTGGCCACAGTCTCTGCCCTCAGGGTAAGCCGCTGTGTGTGTGTGTGGGGGGGGGCTGCTGAGTCCCCACAGGGTGCGAGTGGTCCTGAGTGGAAAGGGAATGTGGTGGAGGGTCTCATGGGGCCCACTGATAGGAATGATCTTGGCTGGGGGTACTGGCTGACTGGCCTGCCATCTCCCTGTGTAGTACCCTATCTGTGGTACCTGTCCACTCCTGGGATTTAGGTAACTGGTCACCTTGAAGCTGATGGGCAGGGAGTGTTGGTCTGTGTGTGTGTGGGGGAGGCCTCTTTGAGGCCACAATTTGAACAGAGGTCACAATTTGGAGGCCTTTGAGGACCTGGCAGGTGTGACCACAGAGTGGGGGCTCAGTGAGGTTTGCCATAGGATTCCAGAGCAAAGGTGGGGGCTGCAACAGGGGTTGGGGTGAGCCGGGTGGTGGCAGGGTCTGGGATGTGCCTCCACTTTTCCAAAGATCTGACTGGGGCCAAGGGCTGAACCCTCCCCTCTGCTTCCTGCAGAAGATGGGGGTGACCCTGACACCCCACAACAAGGAGACAGTACAGCACAGTGATGTGCTTTTCCTGGCAGTGAAACCGCACATCATCCCCTTCATCCTGGACGAGATCGGCGCTGACATTCAGGACCGACACATTGTGGTGTCCTGTGCTGCTGGTGTTACTATCAGCTCCATCGAGAAGGTCAGCGGTGAGGGAGTGAAGGGTGGGGGGAGGTGGTGTCAGGTTCCAGCATGCTCCCACATCTGGCCAAGGCCAGGTCCGAGATGGACGCTCCACCGGTTTCCACTGCAGAAGCTGACAACCTTCCAACTGGCCCCCAAAGTCATCCGCTGCATGACCAACACGCCGGTGGTTGTACGGGAGGGTGCCACTGTGTATGCCACAGGGACCCACGCCCAGGTGGAGGATGGTCAGCTGCTGGAGCAGCTCCTAGGCAGCGTGGGCTTCTGCACTGAGGTGGAGGAGGATCTCATCGATGCTGTCACAGGGCTCAGCGGCAGTGGCCCCGCCTACGTGAGTGTCTAGGACGGGTCTGGGGACCTCGGGCACGGCTACCTGCCTTCCTTCCTTCCTTCCTTCAGAACTCAGGAGGTGGAATTTGAGGCTGAGAAGTGGCTAGTGGTTGAGGCACGTTTTCCTCGCAGGCATTCACCGCGCTAGATGCCCTGGCTGATGGCGGTGTGAAGATGGGGCTCCCGCGGCGCCTGGCGGTCCGCCTCGGAGCTCAGGCCCTGCTGGTCAGTGTTGTGCCTGGATTTCTGGTGGGAGCACTCCAAGAGCCTGGGACACGTGGGTAAGGTCAGTGGGTGCCCCATAGCCATCAGCCCCTCCTCCCGGCTGCAGGGAGCCGCCAAGATGCTACTGGACTCGGAGCAGCACCCAGGTCAGCTCAAGGACAACGTCTGTTCCCCCGGGGGTGCTACCATCCACGCTCTGCATGTGCTGGAAAGCGGTGGTTTTCGCTCGTTGCTCATAAACGCCGTGGAGGCCTCCTGCATCCGCACACGGTGGGCACCCCGCCCAGCACTGGGCCCTTCACCCACCCAACCTTGGGAGACAGGCATGGGGCATCAACACTTAGGAAGTAAGGGCTCAGGAGGACCCAGGGGTTGGTTGCTGTGGCCAGAGTTGGTGACCCTAGGTCAATGTAAACAAAGTGAGGGTGGGCCATGTACAAAGGCCTTGGGGTTGGCAAGTGCTGGCAGCCTTGGCTCTGGACAAGAGTGGAGCTTCGGTGGCCAAGCATCATCCCTCTGGTCCCCACAGGGAGCTACAGTCCGTGGCTGACCAGGAGAAGGTCTCACCTGCCGCCATCAAAAAGACGGTTCTGGACAAGGTGAAGCTGGATGCCCCTGTGGGGGTCTCACTGTCCCCTTCTAGCCACACCAAGCTGCTCCCCCGCAGCCTGGCCCCAGCCTGCAAGAAGGACTGATGCCACCCACCGGCCTGCAAGTCCACAGCAATGTCCCACTGTGATCACTGTCCACTGTCCTGGTCAGTTCAGGGCTGCCATTAGAGGTCAGAGCCCAGACCATGCTAGGGAACGGCAGGTGACCTCCACTGGGAACCCCCACAGCCCCTTTTTCATTCTCTAGAGTTGCTATAGCAGAAATACCACAGTGGGCGGGTTTCATAGATTAACGAATTCTCTCACTGTTTCGCAAGGTCCAAGTCCATACTCAGGGCGCTGGCTCTCGGGGAAGAAGGCCGCCTTTTTTTGTCTGCTCCCGTGGGGTCCTTGTCTCTAGGTAGCATCTTTCTGGTTCCTTGTAGGTCTTCCCTCTTCTGTGTTTCCTGGCTCTCTGTCTAATCTCTCTCCTATCTCAGAAGTGAGTGACTTCAGACACACCTCACACTGATAATAACAAGATAAGAGAATCCGGTTTTCAAATGGGTCATATGTCCACAGGTACAGAAATCAGGATTCCAACACGTGGATCCATAAAGGACCCAAGGGGCTGCAGGCGAGGGTAAGGGATAGGTCCTCTGACCTCAGCTTCCCTCCTCTACCAGAAACTTTGTCAGGACCACCTTCCCCGGGGATCACCCCCAATATCAGCCAGCTAGGGGCTTGGTCTCTTCCCGAACACAAAGGCCAAGGTCCCCTCTGAAGGCTTAGACAATGAAGACGGCTATCCACTTGTCCTGTCCACTCCCCACCTTCCACTGTGGGAGACCAGAGGGTCCCTGTGTCCCGACCCTGTGGAGGGTAGGCAGGTCACTTGGCACTGGGAAGAAGGCTCCTCGGGTATGGAGGTACAGGTTGCCTGCTGGCTCCACTTCTACCTCTGCTCCCATGTTGAAGCCGCCACTTGGTTCCAGTCCAATAAATGTGGCCAGTGCCTGGCTTCTCACCATTGTCTAAGTGTATGAGGAACCCTCCACAGGTCCCAGAGCCTGCCTGCAGAGGTGTTGCTGTCTGAGATGGGGAACACTGGGATCTGCAACTGGGGTGCCACGCAGGCTGGCGGGCGGGGTACCTTGGGCCTTAGGTGTAGGCCAGCTGGGCTTGGTGGACACTAAAAGCGGTAGGGGTGGGGGCTATCCACCTTTACAACCCTCCTGCTGGTGGGATACAGATGTCTCATCACATGGTGGAGTGTTCCTGGAGCTGGAGGCGCCCCAGCTCAGCCTGCACAATGAGAGAAGTTGCTCGTTGATCAGTAAATTCGGAGTATGGAGACTGGGAGACCAGGGCTCAGGGAAGGTCAAGCTAGGCATCTGTAGAGGCATGGTGGGCACGTAGGGAGGACCAAGTGGTGGGTTTCCATTCTCAGTGTGAGTGGGTGGGTGGTGGGAGAGCTCCAGCACAGAGGATGTTTGGGGAAAGGGGTACAGGATTGCTCCAGAACAGGATCTTTGTATGGTGGGGGTGGGGGGTGGGGATACATGATTGCTCCAGAACAGAAGACATTTGCAAGGATTTTGTGATCCCAGTTTTAGCTCCTTCCCTTCCCTGTGGCCCTGCCCTAGAGCTGAGGGCTGGCCTCAAATCCAAGGGAGAAAGGAGACATAAAAGGGGGACAGGAACAACACTTCCCTGTGCCCTGTAGGGAATCCAGGTGCTTACAGGCAGGTGGTGAGGGTTGCCCTCCCTCCTCCCCAGGGCTTTGGGGTCCAGAGCCTGGAGGTAAATAAAGAAGGACACAGATGAGTGCTGGGGTAAACACCGCCCATGGCTGGCCAAGACTTTTTGCCAGCCTTCAGGGCCCACCTAGAGTGTGAACCCATGAGTCCCCCAAGACTGCCTGCAAGCAGCTGCAAATACCCCGTCCTTATCCAAGGGAAGAGCTTGTCCCACAGGTCACATACCTGCCCAGAACCAAGTGGCTTACCCCAGTCTAGATCAATCTCACTGCAGAACAAAGATAAGGCTCAGTGCCCACCACGTCTGGAGATGTAATAGAGGCTGGGATCTGTGTCCAACGTGAAATGGACACAGTGTGAGGCCCAAGAAGGCTGCAGGGGCAAGCCTGCCCACAGGAGCTCTGGGTCAGAAAAGGCCAGAAGTGGACTGCCTAGAGGACTGGCTCAGCGGGTGCACTGAGGAGCCGTGGAGGTCCTGGGAAGGGGCTCAAGGTACGGGCTTGAATTCTCAGTCTGTAGCTTCCAAGTCTGTCCAGAGGAGGGGGCTGAGCTCTGCCCTGCAGCGGTGGTCACTCCAGAGCCTCTCTCGACCAACAAGCTGGTGACCTCTGCAATGGCCAAGCAAGGCTGCACTGCTGGCCTGGGAACAAATGTCCCGGGCCTGTACTGTAAACTGACCAGGACCTAGGGGGGACTTGTAAGCCAGGGCCAGCATAGTCCCTCTCTCACCCCCAAAGGTTTGTCAGACCCAGAGGGGACCCAGAGGCAGGTGTCTGCACCTGGTCATGCAGCCGTCTCAGTGGGGTGCCTTCCATTCCCTCAGCAGCCGCCTCCCACCAACACACCAAGTACCTGTCCTACTGTTCAAGGATAGGGGGAACCCAAAGAGACTGGATTGCTTCCTGGAGTGTCCCTTTCCCCCCAAGTCCCAAGGCTGGGCCGCAGAGTCTCAAGTATAGGATGGGGGAGCTTCAGAGAGCAGTCTTAGTACCCACTGCCCCTAGACAAGCCTCTCTCTGGCTTCCTTGGTGGCCAAGAGTGGGTGATTCCCCTGCACTGCCAAGACGGAGCCAGAGAAGAGGCAGAGGCGCGAGACTAGGAGTGGGAGTCTCCGCCAGGAGTGTGAGCAGTGCAGTCAAAGTGATTCATAAAGTGCTGCTCAGTCAGCCCGTGTGTAATAGTCAAGAGGCAGGCTCCCTCCTAGGAGGTGCACGAGCTGGAGGTGGGAGCAGCCTGGTGCTGTCCCCAGCCCCCAGGGTCCCAACACCCATGCTTAAGAGTGGAGTACAAGGCAAGGAGAAGCAAGTCAACAGATCGTCTGACAACTCCATGTGGCTACCAGGTATCCAGGTTCTCCCCATTCCTACCGAGCCTGGCCAGACAAGGAAAGTCCAGCACCCAGTGGACAGGAGGCTAGACAACGTGGCTGGCCCCAGGGGCATTGCTCCTGCGGCTGCTGCTGCTGCCGCCGAGTGCCATCAAGTCTGCTCAACTCAGAACAACCCCAGATAGGGTTTCCAAGGCTGTACATCCTTACAAGAGCAGACAGCCTTGTCGTTCTACTGTGGAGTGGCTGGTGGATTTGAACTGCTGACCTTGTGGCTAGCAAGCTAACATGTAACCCACTACACTCCCAGGACTCCTTGACCTGGTGGGAAGGGTAGGAAAGGGGGAAGTAGTAAATTGTTGTCTTTGTGCATTAAAAGTTGAGGGATTTATTAGTAAACATGCAAAGAGGTTTTACCAGTGATTTTCTGAAACCTCTAATTCCATGAGTAGATATACTTTTTTTTTTAGGAGAAGGTTTACAGAGCAGATCAGTTTTACATTCAATAAGTCATACTGCATTTCATTACAATGATGGCAATCAGCTCCATATACCATCCGTTAGCAGTATTTACATCTAGTCACTGTAACTATTGCATTCCTCATGTCTCCTGCTACCTTCATCTTTCTTCTGTTAACCTCCTTCTTGTTGCATATAGCCTTTCCCATTACCCAAGTTAACATGTGCCTACCCTCTACCCAAGGAGTGGTAGCGTAGTGGTTACGAATCGGGCTGCGAACCTCAAGGTTAGCAGTTCAAAACTACCAGCTGTTCTGCGGGAGAAAGATGAGGGTTTCTGCTCCAGCCTTGGAAATCCTGTACAAGGTGGCTGAGTCAGAACTGACTCCATGGCACATAATCACCACCACAACCACCCTCTGCCCTCCAAAAGCTGAGGGAGGGGTTTACAAGTATGTCTGGGTTTCTACTTTCAATTTCCACTGTGCACAGTAGCCCAAAGGAGAGAGCAGCCTAAGTGCCCACCAAGAATGATGGGTAAAGAAAATGTGGTCAATCCATACAAGGGGGCATTATTCCACCTAGAGAAAAGAAGGCCCAAGAAATAAAAGTCCTTATGTATGTGAACATGTGGCGGAACCTAGGAAATACGATGCTGAGCCAGGCAGGTAAGGACAGGTAGTTTCTGCTGGAGCGAAAGTGAAATACCTAGAACAAACAGATGCCTCATAGAGACCAAACCAGATTATAGGTTACCAGGGCTTAAGTGGCAGGAGATGGGGAATCACTGTTTTATGGATATAGAGTCTGTGTGTGGGGAGGTGATACAGAAAGATCTGAAAAAAATGTAACATTGTGAGCATACTGAATTCCATGAACCTGTATACTCAAAATTGTTTAAAATGATTCATTTTATGCTGTGCTATCCAAGGGCATTGTGATCTTGCATTACAATGAACATCCACACACCTCTGTCTACACTGTTGACACTCTGCAAACACTTGGTTTTGTGGTATTAAAGCATCCTCACTATAGTGCTGATCTTGCTACATTGGGCTTCACCTGTTTGGTCCTCTGAAAGTAGCCCTTCCAGGACAGAAGAAGTGAAGATAGCTGTGTATTTCTGGCTCAAAGCTCAGTCTAAAACATTTTTTAATATGGAAACATGAAAGTTTATTGACAGATGGACAAAGTGGAAAGCAAGGAGATTATGTTGAAAAAGGATGTATTGGTCTTTTCTGAAAGTTGATTAAAATAAATTGTACAGCCAGAGTGGGGATACTTTTTGACTCACCCTCAAATATTGGAGTCCCGGTGTGGTACTATAGGATCAGCACTACACTGCAGCCACAAATTTGGCAACTCAAACCCACCAGCCACTTCTTGGAAACCGTATACAGGGCTGCCATGAGTCAGAAGCAATTCTACAGCACTTAACAACATTTTACCACAATAAAATACGATTGATTACCCATAATACCTACCAAGAAGGGATGAGGGCTTTAGAATTTATGCAACAAGTTTATTAAGCTCTGTACTGAGATGCCCAGGGCCCTGCCCTGAGCAGGCAAGGAAGATAAATTTCTCCACACCCTTGGGTGCCCATAAAGATAAGACAGACACACACTACCTTCCAGAGTAGAAGGTGACAATTCAAAGAACAGTTACTGGAACTTGTTGGTGTGACATACTACCTTGTGTCACCTTAAACCCCCTTGGTGTGTAGGCTCTATCTCCCCCATGGTCCATAGTTTCCTTGGCTGAATGGGTCACCCTTCCTGGCTGAGAAGGGAAGAGGGTTAAGTAGATGTCTACTGAGTACCTACAATGTACACGACACTGTTCCAAGAACACTCTCAATCCTCACGAAGGTGACTCCCTGAGGTCTGGGTTGTGGGATGTAAGCAGACTACTACCGCGAGTATCCTGACCAACCAGCAGCAGCTGGAGCGGGAAAGACCTCGATTTGAATGTCAGTTCCTGCAGCCACGATGACACGACGTCAACTCTAGGAGCCTGTTTCGTAGTTACCTTGCTGAAGTAACCAGATGCCTGCCAAGCCCATGAGGCAGCGACCTTCATCAGGCAACAAGCAAGGAAAAGAACTGTCATCATCATCTTCTGGAACACCTCGGGACCCGCGTCTGTACCTGAACTGGGAAA